ACACAGGTGCAAAATTCAGCTTCCTCGATTCATGTTAGGAAGAAGCGCGTCCCAAGGTCGAAGGTGGAGATGGAAATCCTTCGGTTGGGTCCGAATGTCCCCGTCAATGACCCTAGAAGCAGTAGGAAAAAGGTTTTGGTTTCCCCCTCTCTTTCCTAATGGTTAAGTCTCTTATTGCTTGGAATGTTCGGGGTTTGGGCTGTGATCGGAAGAGATCTCGTATCAAGAGGATTCTGAGAAGAAAAAGGCCGTCCATTGTGGGTTTGATTGAAACAAAGTGGGACACGTGCAATCAGTCTCTGGTTAATTCGATCAGCGGGTGCAGAAATATTGAATGGGTGGCCAAAGATGCTATTGATAGTAGAGGCTTGATTGTTTTATACTGTGATAGTGGGCTTTTCAAGAAGTTAGACGATATGATTGAAGATTTCTTGCTCCTGGTTCAATTGGAGGAGATTCAGAATAACCAAAGCTTTTGCATCATAATTGTGTATGGTCCTCGAGAAGCTAGAGACAAAGAAAGATTCATTTCTAGCTTGAGAAATCAGTTTCAAAACAGTCCAGGCCCTTTATGTATCATGGGAGATTTCTACCTTGTGCGCTCTCAGGAGGATTACAAGGGCGGACCAAGAAATCATGATTTAATGATCGAGTTCAATTCTTTCATCACGGAGGCTGCTCTTATTGATCTTCTCTTGGCGGGAGCCTCTTTTACTTGGAGCAGTGGGAGGGCTTCGCCATCTATGTCTAGAATCGACAGGTGCCTCATATGTACTCAGTTCGACACGATCTTCCAGAACTGCAGACTTGTTGCTCTTGAAAGAGTAGAATCAGATCATAATCCCCTACAGTTGGTTTGGGAGGGAGGAAATCAGACTTCATCAACCTTGGAAGTTCGAGAATATGTGGCTCCTCGATAACTCCTTTGATGCCCACATGGCAGAGTGGTGGAACAACCAACCTGCGGGGCATGGTAATCTTTTCCTTTTCTGCCGGAAACTCAAGGTTCTGAAGAATCTCCTCAAAGATTGGAACAAAGAAGTTTTTGGGAGGGTGGACAAGAAAATCACAGAAATTCTTGAAGAAATTAAAGCTATTGACAGAAAGGAGGAAGAGAATTCCATCTCTGCGGAAGACAGAATCATGAGAAGCAACTTAGTGAGCAACCTTGACCAAGTGCTATTCATGGAAGAAATCTCATGGAGACAAAAATCCAGGGAGACATGGCTTAAAGGCGGAGACAAAAACACGGGTTATTTTCATAAGGTGGCCAATCAAAATAGAAGAAAGAACCCGATTAGCTATATCAAGATCAATGGCGAGGTCGTGGAAGGTAGGATAAATGGTATAAATTATTCATATGATCACTCCTCTCACGCTCAGCCCCACCCCTCAGAGTTATATTTAAAGAAAGATCCCATCTCAAACACTCATTATCAAAGGATATGTGATCAGACACCCAAGCGTCACGGTTGGAAGAAGCAGCATCGACCTCGATTAACTTTTCTGCAGCAAGGATGTGGTACATAGACTTCACAGTAAAGCTATCTTTTAGACATGGATTCCAATTAACTTTCACCGGACCTGCAGTAATCAAGTTAGAGGGTAAATGGGATAAAATATTCATAAGATCACTCCTCTCACGCTCAGCCCCACCCTCAGAGTTATATTTAAAGAAAGATCCCATCTCACACACTCATTATCAAAGGATACGTGATCAGACACCCAAGCGTCATGGTCGGAAGAAGCAGCAGCAACCCTGGGGAAGTACTCTCTTAGAATCTTTCCTGGAATCCAGCAGTCGTTCCAAAAGGACACCCAAGTTCCACCACCCGGGTTAATAGAAGCAAATTTCCAGAACAGACCTTCCTCCTTCATGATGCTTCTCCAAAGCGAACAACCAACAGGTCCATTGGACGAACCAGCTCTCCACGCAGACAAGAAATGGGGAAGCTTGCAATCAATAAGTTTTACGCCACCAAGAGGTAGGTTCCATAGCGTATTTCCAGAACCACTTTGCGAGCAACGCCGAGTTCATGCAACCAAGGTCAAGCACACCTAACCCCCTCTTTCCTTAACAGTTTTGCAAAGCTCCCACCGCACAAGATGGAGCTTGTTCCTGTCTTGCGCTCCTGACCAAATGAATCTGCATTCAATTCTTTCCATTTTCTTAATTGTAGTTTTTGGGGCTTTTAACAAGGAGAAAAGATAGATTGGTTGGCTTGTAAGGCTGCTTTTGCATAAGACAATCCTGCCTCCCAACGATAAGAATTTCCCTCTCCACCCATCAAGCCTTGATTGAAATTTGGCAAGAACCTTATTCCAGATCGAGGTAGAGTTCTGACTTACACCAAGAGGGGCGCCTAGATAAATAGTCAGCAGATACCTCCACCCACACCCAAAGATTCTTGCAAAGAAATCACGATTACCAACATTATCAACAGGAAACATCTCACTCTTCTCCACGTTGATTCGCAATCCAGTCACAACTTGGAAGCAAACAAGCGTTGATTAGCAGGTTGAGCACGTGATCCTTATTATCATCACAAACAAATTATGGTGTCATCAGCATACATGAGATGAGTAACCTCACCAGAATCATCTGCCTCGTTTATGAAAAAAACAGAAATCAGTCCTTCCGATCTCGGAGTTTCCAGCATTACGGAGAGGATGTCTATAACAAGTAAAAAGAGGAATGGAGACATGTGATCTCCTTAACGGAGACCTTTCTTGATATCAAAGAATCTTGATACTTCCCCATGCACAAGGAAAGATAGGCAAAGAGAAGTAACTAACCCTTTGATCCAAAGTTGCATTTTCTGAGGAAGATGCAGCATGTCAAGGATCTTAAAGAATGATAGACCATCGATTGCACATGTTTTTACCCCTATTCTTGAGCCGTTTGAGATGTTGATTCTCGTGTTTTAAGCCGATTTCACGCTAGAGTTGTGCGTTTATGTCATATTTCAGGGCTTGGCGTTGGAATCGAGGCGAAGAAACGAGTTTCGGGTCGAAAGGAGCACGTTTGGGTCGAAGTGTTAGCGCATTCCGGTAAAGAAGCCCGGAGGAACAAATATGTATCATCATCAAAAAGGAGATGAGAAGTAATGGGTGCTCGCCTGTGAACTCGCAGACCATGAAGGGATGAGATTGCAATTTCGGACATCATCTTTGCAGAGAAGGCCTATGTGTAAAGCGCAAACAGAAGCGGGGAGAGAGGATCACCTTGGCGAATTCCGCGTTGCGGTTGGAAGTACCCGTACTCTATCCCATTCATTAGAACCGAAAACCGAACAGTGGAAATGCAGGACCGGATCCAGCGTACCCACCAACGCGCAATGTACTCTATCAAGCGAGAATATAGAAGTTTTCAGGGAGTGATGGTTGTGGTGGTGGATTTAGAATTAGGGTTTGTTTTCTGGAAAATGGGAGAGAGGGGAAGAACAGAGTGGGAACAGCTTGTGGTATGAAGACTCAGAGAGATAAGGATTAGAATATAGGAAGGAAAGATGGAACCATAAAGAAAAGAGGGGGAAATTTCGGAGCCAGAAAAGAGTTAGTTCTTCTCAAAAGGGTTAATTGCATGGTTGGTCACTGAGATTACAAAAAGCGTTCATGTTTGGTCACTATAAATATTTAAATCCATTTGTGGGCACTAACTTTACAAAAACCATTCATTTATGGTCACTCTCCGTTAGCTGCCATCCAACGCCGTTAACGGCGTCCGTTAAGTGATGACGTGGCTGACGGATTCGCCTAATCAGCACTTTTTAACCCCAAAATTGACTGACCCGACCCGCCACGTCATTTAAACCCGCCATATCAGCTAAATCTAACCAAACCTCGACCCAAACCAGACCAGACCCGAATCACTAAATCAGTACATGAAATTGAATCGTACAGAATCCAAAACCCAAAATACAAAACACAGCGATGCTCTCTCATTCTCCTTCTCCAGATGCCGCCTCTCACCGGGGGAAGTTAATATGCTAACTTGAAATTTCGTTAGCAGATACTAACTGATATCCAAAATACATGAACTAGTATCCAAGTACTAAAGTATCTAGAGAGCACAGACTAGTATTCAAAGTTTGCTAACTGATATCCACCAGGAATCAACTATTATCCCAAATTCACAAACTAATATCTAGACAACACATAATAGTATCCATATAACACATAATTAGTATCCCGATAACACTTAAGAGTATCCAGATAACACATAAGAGTATCCATATTGAATACTAGTTGGTTGATTGTGGATATTAGTTGGTATCTGCTATCTGGATACTAGTTTGTGATGTTTTGAATACTAGTATGTGTTATCTAGATACTCAGCAGACTTAGATATTAGTTCATATATTTTGGATATTAGTTAGTATATACTAACGAATTTTCAAGTTAGCAGAATAACTAGGCTGCCTCTCACCTCCCTCCGCGGTGAACTCATCGAGCTCCAGTTGCTCTCTTCGCGGTGTTGGCAACGGTAAAGGAAGATCGTACTTCTAGGGTTGAAGATAATATAGGGGTTTGTCGATTTCATCGGTGGAGCCAAACATAATAGATCTGGGATGTTGAAGGATGGTTGGGTTCGTGAAGAAGGAAGTAAAATTAGCCTCGAGCTCCGCCTACACCCACTCCGCAGCACCGCTCGACTCTTCTTTCCCTCGCGCCGGCATCTGCAACAACCCATCTTCAGGCAAGCTCCTGGCGGAGCCATTCCGGCTGCCGCTCACAGAGGAAGAATCGGACTCGCGGGAGCATCAGCTGCAGGGGAGGAGGAGAAAATGGCCGAAAAATCCATGTGAAGGCCTTGGAGGAGGATCTACGAGAGTTCACCCTAATTTCTCTGGCATGTGTGCAATCTAAGCAAGAACATATACCAGTGATTTCGGGGAAGAAAAGGGGATTTTTTTGGGGAAATCCGTGCTTGGGTTGGGTAACGGAAAAGAGAAACATGGGTTTTAATTTGGGTTGGGTCGTGATCATTGGGTTACTGGTTAGATGGTTTTTTTTATTTGTTGATGGTTACCACCACCATGAGGATGCTCGACTGGATTCATAGCCACACCACGCACCTTGGGCCAGCAGTTCCTCTTCACTCTGTACTTGTGATAAGCATTACCAGCCTTGAGCATAGGTTTCTCAGTCCTTCCTCCTCCAGCAATTTGCCCAATCATGGCACGGCAACCACTGGGAACGATTTTCTTAGCACCAGATGGAAGCTTGACCCTAGTGGTGTCATTATCAAGGTTGTGGCTGATAACGATGGCATAATCGCCGGAGCACCTAGCGCAGGGACGGAGCCAGGAAATTAAATAAGGGGGGGCCGGTAAAATTTTTTGAAAACAAATATTATGATATCTATCGTTCCATACAAATTACCAAAATATTGATACATAAAGCTTATTTTGACCTAGTAGAAGACCTTTGGCATATTGTATAGTTAAAAAATATGTTACTGCTAATTCAAAATGAAAAGATAGAACTCAGTTCCTAATGGAAAATGGTGAAAAAAGAACTATAATTCCTATGCAAAAGCAAATTAACTTGCAAAAATTCAGAAAATTTAGGTTAAAATGAAAAAAACACCATCTCAAATCTGAAATTTGTTACCAATTTTAAGACAATGGACAAAAGATATACCAAATGGGAATGTTTGGTACCAAATCGTAAGGCATAGGAATTTGGGGATGAGAAGTATGGTAACCAATTGTAAGACAATGGGCAGAAGTTGTACCAAATGAAAAATATCTCGTAAGACATGAAAATTTTGGGGCAAAAGATGTATCAAAAGAAAAGTTTTGGTACCAAATCCTAATGCATGCAAAATTTGGATCAAAACATGATGAATTAAAACGTTGCTACCAACAACCATCGAACCTCCGACCTAGCGAAGACTCCACGATCACCAACGTGGTGCTCGACGTTGCAAACGACTGCTCCCTCTAGGATAGATCTGAGAGGCAATACGTTTCCGACCATTAGGTTGGCCTTCTTACCGCAGTACACGAACTGTCCCGTGTACATCCCTTCGGCGGTGACGAACAGCTCCTTCTGCTTCTAGTAGCGGAAAGGATGGCGGAAGGTCACCCTAGCGAGCGGCGCACCCCTGCCGGGATCGTGAAGGACCTCCGTCACGACGCCCTTAAGGTAGCCATTCCTCTCGCCGAAGTCGAGCGAGCGGAAGCGGGCCGGTCCCTTGCGGTGGTGAGTGTGGGACTTGAAGACGGAGCCGACACCCTTACGCTGAGCACGGATGACTCGTCCCATTGCTCCTCTGGTTTGTTTCTGAAGCAGCGGCGACTCAAGGAGGAGTAGATGGTTTTTTTTTATCGGGATCAGATGGTTAAGTTTGAATGATGTGGCAGGGGTAGTTTTTATGTTTTTCAGGTTAAAAATATGTGACTAGGCGAGTCTGTTAGCCACGTCAGCAAATAATTGATTGTGTTAATGGAGACTGACGGAAGGTAACGGAGAGTGACCAAATATGAAATGTTTTACTAAAGCTAGTGACCACTAATGGAATTAAATATTTTTAGTGACCAAACATAAACTTTTTTAGTAATTTCAGTGACTAACCTTGCAATTTATCCCTTCTCAAAATAATTGGGAATGGCGGATTGATTTTTGCTGTTGGCAGGATTTTTTAGACAAAGCAAATTTTTGGAGCAAAGCAATTTTTGGAGCCAAATCAAATTTTGAAGTGAAAGGAAATTCTCCCTCCTAAAATTTTGGAAGAATATTTTGTAAAAGGTAAATTGATAGATTATTTACGAGAATTAACCGTGACAAACAATTAATCACGGGAAATGAAAATTAAAAATAGTTAAATTAATTATCATGATTAGAACTATATAATCAAATACGGTACCTTTTACTGTGATTATTAGCATACTATTTAGTACGGGAAAGTTACCGTGAATAAGATCCCGTGACTAGAAACCAGTTTTCTTGTAGTGCTTGGGGCACCGAATTTGTCATAATAATAATAATCATAAAGCTCGTACAAAGTAGGACTAATCTTCTTCTTCAAAGTAGATAAACTATAGGGTGTGCCTACGGTGACATGCATGTCACGGTGACTTGCACTTTCCGGTCGACCTCAGCTAGGATTAGGTCGACCTCACATAGAATTCGGTCGACCTCATATAGGATCCGGTCGACCTCATTTAGGATTCGGTCGACGTCATATAGGATCCGGTCGACCTAATATGTTGTTTCAGTGTAAAAACAGTTCATGGTGCCTACTTTGGATATTCATATCATACAATTGGCTAGATGAAAATTGAAGACTAATGACTTGTTTTGAAGCTGGAGTGTCCCTCTACATATTGAAGTGATTGAGAGCTCGATAGGAAGTCCAGAAGACCATTTTTGAACCTCATCAAAAGGCTATGCCAAAACTGGGAAACTGCCTAGAAATGGCTAAGTCTGGAAACGTGTTTGTGAAGCCTATTTTTGAGCTCAATTACCACGTTAAATTAGGTATGTTTTTATACAAATTCAAGGAATTGGATGAAAGATTGGATATATTTAAGGCTTCAAACAAAAGGGTCGAAGTTGCTACGAAGGCTGTTTTTCTGGCAGACTTCGAGCACAAGCAAGCTGCCAGAAAAACAGCCTTCGTAGCAACTTCGAGCCTTTTGTTTGAAGCCTTAAAGATATTCAATCTTTCATTCAATGCCTTGACTTTGTATAAAAAAAATACGTAATTTAACGTGGTAAAGGCCCCTGGACTTGATTCGCATCCATGCTTGTCAAATTGAGCTCCAAAGTAGGCATGACAAACACGTTGCCAGACTTGGCCATTTTCAGGCAGTTTCCCAGTTTTGGCATAGCCTTTTGGTCAGGTTCAAAAATGGTCTTCTGGACTTTCTATTGAGCTCCCAAGTACTTTAATGTGTAGAGGGACACTTCAGCTTCAAAACAACCCTTTACTCTCCAATTTCCATCCAGCCAATTGTAAGATATGAATCTTCAAAGTAGGCACCACGAAACTGTTTGTACACTGCAACAACTGATTAGGTCGACCTGATCCTATATGGGGTCGACCGAAAAGTGCATGTAACCGTGACATGCATGTCACCATAGCAAAGTCCTAAACTATATCCCATGTGTCCACCAAATGCATCAAGTAAATCAAGTGTGGTACTTAATTTAAACCTAGGATCAACAATCAAAGCAAGAATAAATAGCATAGGAATTTCCTTCCAATAGTTTGAAAATTTAGCCTCCATATCTCTACAAATACTCTTAAATGCATCAACATTTCTGTATTTAACAAAAGTGTCACTAATCGAAACAATTTGAGGCAAAAATAAATTAGTGGTAGAATAGTACACACCACTTAATACAGTGGATACATTTTGAAAAACTTGTAAAAATTCTTTAAAACATTTAACATCAATTGATTAAAGGAGTGCATGATATCTCCCTTCCTTAACTAACATCAATTGATTAAAAAATTAAAAGAAAGAAATATTGTTAATATATTTGGTTACAGAAAAGGAGCGCGGGAGGGAATTTTGGGCCAAATTTGGGGGTTCAAATTCAAACGTTTCTTTTGCGGGTTTGGGGAGGGAACTTTGGACCAAATTTTGGGGGTTAAAAATGATTGTTTCCTCAAATATTTGGGATTTATAAAATCAAATTAAGATGTACATTTGAATATGATATATTTAAGATGTACATTCACAAGTTAAATTAATTGTTAAAATCAAATTAATTAATAAACTATAAAAAAAACAAAATATCTATCACAAAGCATAACCATAAAGAAACCCTAAACCCTAACCCTATAACACCATTTTAAATCTGAAACCTAAAACTAACCTTAACCATCAACCACTACAACAAATTTGACCTGTTATGACAAAACTTTTTTTTGTCATTTCCAGGTTGTCACAATAGGGTATGTAATATGACAAAACTCAATGTTGTCCTATTTGATATGCCTAATGTGACAACGTTAGGTGTTGTCATTACACTTGGTCATAATAGGTTGGTACTATGATAAATTTTTTGTGTCACAAATAATGTTGTCAAAATAGGCCTCCCATATCGGGATGTATGATACTCAAAAGTGACAAAGTTAACCGTCAAAGTAGCGTTCGTCATATTATGCTCTCATAAAATATTTAAACGACAAAGCATTTTGTCATAATAGAGATTATTATTCCCACGGCGAGTTGACAAAATGTAGGTTCGTCATAATATATTGATTATTTTTTTTATTATGTCAAATTAAGTTGTCATACGCGCAATTAACATATACTTTTTCATTTTAGTGGGTGAAAATTAAAATTTGGCCGACGGCTTTTCAGTGTTGGGAAAATTACACTCTCCTTCCCTTTGTTAGACAAAAATTACAATTTGGAGGGAAAATGGAAAAAGCAGCGGGCATAAGTTCAAAACCAAAATTGAACTTTTTTTTGCCTTCTTCTCCTCTCTCGGGGAATACGAAAAAGGTCGAGAGCTAAAAAGTTGGGGGAAAAGTAGTTTCCAGAAGGAACACTAGTTCTCAATCTGGAGAACAAGAAAGAAAATCTTCCTATGCCGCTCTCTCTCTTAAATAAATCATCTAGATACGACGGCGGTGAATGTATGCAATGTAACCCTGTGCCATCGGGGCACTTGTGGGTGGCGAATGTATCTCTCAACATAGATCTTCAGGGAGATGGAGCTGATGGAAAATGGAGTGCAGCGGCCTGGCTCCGGTCGTGACGAGAACTAGAGCGAGAATAATCATCGGCGGTGGTGAAGTTGGCACAATATCAAAAACCAGATCTGAGTTAGTTGCACTCAGAGAAGGCTGACCACATGCGAACCCTAAACAACAGAATAAATCTCATCCTAGAGCTCAATTTCAGGTATGTGATTTGGAGCCGCTATTTAACTTGAACTATTCAAGCATCCATATAGATCTTCGTTTGGAATTTCAGTGGTTTCTTTCTATTCATCCTTTAGATCTAGAATATGATTCCTCTAATTCCTGGCACTTGCCTGGTCGATTTATCTCTAATGTCCAAAATATTCATAGGGGTTTCATTCTCATCACCACTATGACAAAAAGGCGTCATGAGAGCCAATAACCAAGCTCTAATTCGGCTCCATCGCCAACAATGTAAACCCTAGATTTGCTGCCGCTAACAGCTGTAATGGCTGTGGAATTGTGAGATTTTTGTATTTTTTTAATGGCTATGTTCAAAGTTTGATTCTTTTTGGAATTGGTTTCCTTAGGATTGATAAAGATGCTTGATTTGGAATGTGGGTGGTCTGTACTTCACGTAGATTATAAGGAGATGGGTTTCATGGTTTAGTTTAGTGCTTGAAGTTGTTTGGTTATTGTAATCTGTATCCATGGTGGTATGCTTGAAGATGTTTGGCTAAAGTTAATTTTGTGTTGGAAAATTTTCACCAGATATGCAGCTAACTGGTGAGTTCTTAGCACTCTCTTTTGCCATTTTATCAAAGGAATTAACCGAACCACCAATGGAATTGGTGTTGAAATTCAAGCCCTCATACGCTCTCTGTTAAGAATCTTGAACCGATTTCCTCTTATTCAATGATTTGTTTCTCATGATTGTTTGATTGTTGGGATTTCATATAGTGTGTTGGATCACACTAGTAATCCATCGATTTGAATAGATTCTTTCATTATATTAAAGTGATGTTGGTTATTTGAGGTATATCAATTTCATCGTAGTTGATTAATTTGGGTTTGTTTGTGCCACCAGTGTTTGCATATATATGTCATAAAATTGATTACTATATATGTTTGTTTGATTTTTTTTTTGTTTTAATCGATTGTGTTTATAATATTTAATTCATTTTTGTGCTCTTATCATAAGATAATGATTCTAATTCTTGCTACCTAGAAATAACCATTCTATATTGATTAAATTGTGAAGTCAAGTTTGGATCCCAACACAGGATAGATGATGTCAGGTGGCGAATTATGGTTTATGTTTACACACCATGGGTTTCTAGTGGACTAAAAGTTGTCCCTTTTCAGGGTTCTACATTGATTCAATTACGTTCAGGAGGATTGATGTGAATGTTAGGCTAGCAAACTCTGTTCGAGTTCCTCAACGGGATTTCTGGATTCTGCGTTGTGGATTGATAGTGCCGAGAGGTACGTTGGAGGTTGAGTGACTGACTCATTTCTAGCTACATGTGTGTTTCCAAAAGCAAGTTGTGGATTTTCCTCCTCCCTGAACCTTTCTAAATATTCTTTGTTTTTTTGCGTTCTAAGTTTGTTTTTCCTCTTTTTGCTATTATCAGACCCTAATTTGTTCCCTTGTTTATTTTTTTA